ACCCTCAACTTTCGCAGGCACTTAGGACCATTTTTCAACCGTAGCTTTTAGCCATTCTACTCTCATAGCTCAAAGACCCAGGGAGTTGATCCTGGCAAGGATTTACACAATCTCACCATTTTGGGGCCAAATATTCTCCGTTTTCAAAAGATACTGCGGGGGGGCACTTTTGATGCTAATGAGCTGGCTAGAAACTCTCACTTGAATTAGTGGTCTGCACCCTCCAAGGAAAACCGACCCAGAAATGGCGTCGATAAATAGCGCCCTCTTTTCTAAAGAACGAAAGAGTGATAATAAGAGGCGGCGGGGGAAGGTATGGTCCGTTTTGAGAGTCAGACATTTGCGGGCATTTTGCCTGCCGACAGTGGTTACATTAAGATTACGTTGTGTCCAATTGAACTTGATTCTGTTTCACTAGTGTTTCAGTAAAAGCAGCCCAGTCAGGCACCATTAACCGAGTAGCTAAAGAATTCCATTCACATTTCGACTTTATCCACCGTCACTGACAGCGTCACCTGCTCCTACACCACAAATTCGTACGGGCCACCTGACTTCGCTAGGCAAGCATGGGAAGTTTGCCCTGGTCTGCAGGAGGTTGTCAGTATCCAAGTCAAACAATGTAAAATTATGATAATATACCGACTTGCAATTCAAAATGCACTCACTCAAAAGCAAACTACTGTCACAATCCTGGGTACACTTTTCAATCAAGACACCTAAATGTCCAAGCAAGACTAACGTGGTATAACTCTCAGATTTGACAAACTTTGAAGCATCTTAACACTGAATAGGACCAGTTCATTCATCTATAGTCTTTCACGTTGTTGATAACGGGAAAGCTGGAAGTAAAGATGTACCCACAACTGAGGCCCCAGAGAAATGTACAAACCCCCAAAATAACTTTAAACCAAACCTACTCAGGATAACAGCAAATTTTCAAGGGTCTATTTCAAATTTATTGTCTACCATTTACATGGAAACAAATTTATACCAATACAAATCTATAAACAGTACGAGCTTACAAAAATCAGTTCTTTGTGATATGAATTTGTCAAGAAAATGTACAAACCTTCATATTCACATTCGTTGAGTAACTATCCATCAGATGGCTGACTAAAGTTTATTCAATGCATCTTTCAAAAAATGGAGTGCAAAACATTCTACTAGCATCACATTCTGTTTGAACACGTTATGTAAAGGTACGAGATGTTCTTCATGAAGAACTGAGTCCGGTTACAGAGGCCACAACCCTTCTCAAATCCTTTACTGTGCAGAAACCCAAGTATCAATGGTTGGGCTCTACATTCCACAACCCTGCAAAATCTCTCCAAAATCTCTTTGCTCTCAATTGAAGGATTTAGCTGCGTAACAGTGAACAGATATTAAAAATTGGGTACATGTATTAATACTTTAAATCCATTAACTTTGCACTAGTCCATTTTACAGAAGTAATGCCTTAGTTTACATGCAGTCTAGTGCAGTAAGAACAAATTTCCAGCAAGCTTTCCTAAGACACTGGATCAACTACCACACACAAACACGTAATTCCAAACACGCCTACATGCGGTATGAGCAATTTCAGCAGTAGTCACTATTTTGTGTAGGGCATCATGTTACAAGTCCGAACTCCTATGAAATGAAATCAAATATACTTGATGTCAAATCTGTGCAACCATGGCTAACTTTGGGACTAGTCTGGAGGCCTGTGGAAAAACATTGAGCCTATTTAAAACAGTCAGCTTCACTGTTTTTACTGACAACCACCACTGACCACAACACTGTGCCAAGTGGAAATGATGTCCAACATTTGACGAGTTTGAATAGGGTCATAAAGTGACAGATCTCCATCCCATTTCAGCCCTGATGAAATATTTTACAAACACTAACCGGTGCAATTTCAATAATTAAGTATGTTCTAACACTCTTTGGCCACTGCTTAGGATTTCTTAATCTGCAGCATGTCATGTCCAATGACTTTTTTTTTACTGCAATCCTTGAAAATGCACCTCCATGTTTCAAATTAAGTTATTTTCAAGTTTGTTTAGCTGTTTACAAGATATTTTGGCATCCTTTTGGTTTTTATTCCAATACCAATTTCCATATCCATGTGCATAAGTGTGATGTCATCCAGGGAAGAAAACCTCACATACAGAGGGTCTGCTTGGCTGCCATCTCACATGCCAGTGTTTTTGTTCTAACTGTAACAGGTTAAACACTCTTCATTCAGTATGATAAGCAGTGAGGTATTAACTATTTCATATGAAATCGAATAAGAGGGCATCCATTTTTGTCGTCATTTTCACAAGAGTAAAAAGAGTACTTTTTTCTGGCCTACCCCTCCTCTAAAAGAGGACAAAATGAATGAACCAAAAAAATGACGGTTTCTCTATGGTGCCCGATTACCCATTCTCACTCAACATGTACGGCTGGTAATCTGCAGTAGACGACCAGAGAATAGTGGCAGGAGGAAAACAACGTCCATGACATCAGAGCATTTAGGTCACCTGGTATGCTCAGAATTCAACTTGCTACTGGCAAGAAACACATGATAGGCCTACATACACGTATATTGTTGTCCAACAGGAATTGCACGCGTGCACAAGTGTGGGACAGTTTCTTCACACGAGGATTATGTACGCTCGTATCATCCATTGCACTTGATCTGGAACCATGTGTGCACTGCAACAGGAGTTGAAACCACAACCAGACTGCGCGTGCATACAGTGGCGGGAAGCATAAACTATGGCCGGTCTTTCATAATCGTCATTTTCAACATGTTTCTAAAGCGTACACAACCAATTAACCCCCTCCCCTTCAGCGTACGTTTTGTACACTCATGAAAGTCATGACAAAAATGGATGACCCCTCACCGAATCTTTCCATTTAATGTAAGGCAAGGAGTGTATTTAACACAACATGACTTGGTGTGGTGTTGCCCTTGTTATTAAATTAACACTAAAATAATATTTCCACCTAGTATCTAATCATACTAATTGCTAACACTACGGTGAAAGCAAATGGTGTAAAACCCATGCAGTTCAACTGAAGATTGTAAAATTGCATTTGTAATAGTTAACTGTTCATTCGTGATATTCTTTTATTTGAGACATCTGGCTATGTACTTATCAGCTCTACTTGTTTTGCCAAAAAATTCCCTTTGTGAAATTTAAAACATCTTTTAGTCCATGGTGGACTGTGTTACCATTGTGGTGTTCCCTTGAAACATAACAAACAAAAAATGAATACAACTGAGGATCGCTTTGCATTTTCATGTCAAACACACTTATAAAAAAAAGATACAACCTCCTATGTAGACATTTGTTTTTCCTAAAATAGAAAAATTCCTTCCACTCAGCTTGCTTTCAGGCCCTTTCAGATGCTGTGCTTCTATGATGAAACCAAGACATAGATCATACTGTTGACAAGAGCAAATCAGAAAGGAATGTGAGACAAAAGAAATGAGTCGAGACTGAGTTTGTTAACTTTTTATCGATGGCATTATGTTGAGCCACAAATTTCAACTTTGGCCACACAACGTATCGGAAACAAGTATGGGTGTGTGAGCAACATGGGGGGATTGGTGTCTTTCAAAATGTCTGCTGGAGGTCACGGTGCAGTTGCTGTTGTAAATCCGTTGGCCTTGCCTGTGTATACAATTACGTATTGCCAGACTATGGTTTACAGCATAATTGCCTTCTCACACTACAGAACTTTTGAACTGGATCAAACTCGATTTGATCCTGTGCAAACCCATGACTGCCTTGGATTTGAAATGTAATTGTTCACCCCACATTAAACCAGGTGTTGTTTTGAGCAAACCGAGCTTATCGGGGTGAGTTAAACCCAGAGATGAGCATGAATGATTTTCAATCTGGGTTGAAAAATTTTGATCCAGGTGGTCCTGAGCAGGGTTAAGTTCAATCCGGGTCGAAGTCCATCTCAGGGTTGACGCAGGGCTGAAACTTTTCAAGTATGAATCATTCCCAGTTTTCAACCCTGCATCAACCGCACATCAACCCCAAGATTTGTCTTGTGTGAGGGAGCCTTAAAATGGTGAAAAGGGATGTCAACAAGGTCATTGGCAACTTGATCCCTACACTCAAACCACCAAGGTGGCAAGGCAACTGTCCTTCTTACCACTTTTACAGTTATGTGACCTTTACAAAATGCTGTAGTCAAGTTCTTCTCAGAGTCTTGGAGTAAACCTCAACATAAGATGGTCCAGTGGGAATCAAGGCCTTGTAACACAGATTATGGCTGTGTCAACTAATTATATCAAATTATTAAAAATATCGCAGTCTTTGTGTGCAAAGCCTGACAGAGGCATGTTTGAATTCTCTTTTTACACATTCTTTAGGAGCATACCCTTTTCCTAAACACTGAATTCCTGTCTGATTGCTCAGACCATGCCCGGGCTTGTTTTTCAGGCTCAATCCCAGCCACACAATTTTTTAAAATTAAATTTCAGTGTACTTGGTGGACTTGGATAAGGACTCACCTACAGCCTTGCTAATGTACTCAGCCTTGCTCCCGACATAAAAGCCCACAATTATATTCGACAATGCATGTAATGCACAGTACTGTATACACTGGTAGGTTAAGGATGTTAACTTGTACTATATAACACGTGAATGTTTGCCCAAAATATAGATGCCCGCAATGTTCACAATTTTAGTTTTCTCTTGGAGAAATTCTTGCGACATACTCACCTATAAAGATAGTAAAAGAAAGAGATGAGATAGAAAGCTAGTTTGATCCAGCCTTCTCTCATACATCGTGACAAGACGTCTGCGTTCATTATAGTTGTGGGATCATACAGCCCTGGACCACTCATCACTGGCCGGTTGGCATATCTGAGGGGGAAAAAAATTCAAATGGTGGTAACATTTGTATGGTTGCGTAGGCGCCCATACTATCTGGAGTTGGGAAGTGTGCCACACTCCTTTGCTTTCATTCGTTCCGCTGAAACTGGGTATCGATTTTCATAAGAGATCAGGTATCCAAAAGAAACAAGTTCTCCTTCAAAACTTTTTTTCTCCTGCAAAACCGTCTGGCAATTTGCTGCCTTGCAATCGTCAACTAATGGCCCTCGATCACATTCACCAATGGCTAGTCATGCACTACTGATCAACATGCCCCACTAATACCGATAAAGTTACCTGGAAAATCATTTCACCAACTGGGATGTCTTACCTGTAGATGTGGTAAGCAATGAGGGGAACGTTGAACAGCAGTGTCCCAAACTGAAATGCCGCAAGGAACAGCACATTGTAGAAGATATGTACGATGTACTCAGGTAGCACCAGCTATGAAAGTGGAATCGGACAACACTGGCATTCAATCAAATTGTCCATATGACAGAGACAAACAGAGATATAAGCAGAATTCGAAAGCAGTATGGTAGACAAGTCCATCACAAGTCCAATTGCAGACTAGTCAAATGCTGTGACAGAAGCATTCGTTTCCTATGGTATGCCTGGTCTTGTGCCTATGAAAGGACTGGTCTGACACTTCCATATTCAAACTTAACCCTTCTAAGGGTTTCTCTTGGCACCATACTGACTCTGACAGATTACCAAAGTACACGCTGCTTAAATCAATAACCCTCTCCGCTGATATGCTTATGCTTTTCTACTTTGTCCAAATCATGGGCCGTCTGTTGACGTTTGTAAGCTACGACATCAGGTGTGTTCAGGGTTTCCCCTGGAGTACAGATATGTGTGAGGTAGTCAAACAAATGCTGCCAAAATTCTAGTGTCTAAAACAAAAGCAAAGAGTTTTTAAAAAGGCCTTAAATAAATTTTATATAGTCTAATAGCACATTTACTCTAAATTTCCCCTCTAAAATAAATCAATCTTGTATTCTGTGTCCTTTACCACTCTAAACAATTTAAAACTGATCTATTTCAAAATATCTAAGTTATTTTTTCTTTTTCCTTCCATCTTTGTCTATTTTAAGGGTCAGGTGGTAAAATCCAACAGAAAATCCTGGGTGGTCACTAAAATTAGTGAGGTGGGCCGCCTCACACTTGAAAAGGCAGGGGCAAGCAAAATTTCAAAATAAAAGCAAATTTAATTCCACCATAAATGTCTCCCCTTTCCAGATTAGATAAATATCTTTAATACAAAAAAGGGGAATGCCTAAACTTGTGTCAGATTTGAAGTCCATCAACTCAAAATGATACTTTTCTTTTTATTCATTTCAGACTCTGATAAAATGTTCTAAAGCCCATCATGAAGTAGCCAAGCAGCATCTCCTGTCATATTAAGAAGAAATCCCCAAGGTTTACAGTTTGGCTGCAAAGTCTTGATTGCTATATTTACATTCCCAAATATTACATCTTACAAAAAATCATCTTTTGAAAAAAAAAGCTATCAAGGTTCAAATTGAAAACTTCAGGAACATCAGGTCCAATGCTAATTTGGTCCAATGCTACTGTAACAATTTCCTTCTTGTAATTCACTAATTAATTGGATGATATTATGGAATCTGATTTATTATGCATGGCTTCCACAACAAAAACTGAAATAGAAGCAAACCAACGGCTGAACTTGGGATCAAAATGCCAAGAAAAGGAAGTGGAAAAGAGAAATCGGGTCTGAGACAAACTGAAAAAGATGAAAAAAAACCACATAAAAAACTGATTTTTATGATAATGAACTCACCGGATTTAGACTATTGCACTGATCAATTGGATTCTTATAGTCAGTCTTCAGTTCATCAAATGCAATTATCTAAAAAGGGTAAAATGCAAAGAGAAAGGTAAAGCTTCTGAGGTTTATGGTCACAAGAAGTTCTGTATTTTGTGTGTTTTTGTTTGTGTTTATGATTTATTCCTGGTCCAACAAATTCAGCAAAAATAATTAGACGCAATTTCTGTGGGCCATCACGCGCATGTTACATTCCCCTCTGGCCAATAGGGTGTCTAGTGTCTTGACTTGCTGAAGAGTGTGCACACTCAAGTTAAGACATGCTTGAGGTCAGGTTATATGTCAAATTTCAGCTTAATAAAAATGATGGCAATGGTAGGCAGCATGCACAAGAATAAACCACAGCCTCCAGAAAAAAATGGTGCATCCTGGAGTGACACCACTGTTCATTTCAATTCAATTTTACTTTATTTCCATTCCACAAACACTTTCTCTACAAGTGTTGGACAGGTATGAATCAAAAAGGGAAAATTTCAATTTTTTTTTAAATGGGTAGAATACCACATTGGATTGGACCACCATTCTAGTGTCAAGCACCAATTTGAATCCTACGTGTTCGACTGCTCTGGCATGTCTGGATACGGCCGGTGCCTACGGAGCCCCCTTTCCACATGTAAAACATGTAACATAAACAACCATCCCATTTTTAAACATGTCGTGACACTTGAGAACTACAATGGTCAAATATAGAATTCCAAAATACTTTGAAAATGTTACAAACTTTTCACAGACTCTGGCCCACACCAATCAATGAACCCAGATTTTGTGTCGGAAACAAACGCCTACCCATTTAATCACTACAATAAAAACTGGGCTAGTCAGTGGAGTATCCTGGTAAATGTGCTGTGGGTGATGTAATGAAATACTCACGTGAAATATCGCAAAAAATATCAGCACAGCTGCTAAAAGCATTGCCAGTAAATAGCAGAATGCAACAAATGTAAACGCCATGGTTTAAAACCAGTGTTAAATCGTGAATTCTTGACTGAGATTCAGTCACGCAGAACCACCAGCGCGCATAAAGCACAGCATGTACATGTACATATGTACGTACAGCGCAGCAGGGATCGACGAACCATTGATCTTTCTAATTGAGCACCATGAACCGGGTACCAGCGCTAACAAGCATCCCATCCCATGGTCAGTGCTGGCCCCAAACTGTAAATTGGGGGCGATCGATAGCTTCTCCGAGTTAAAATTGAGCAAAACGATGAAGTAGCCAAACGTAAGTTAACAGAGAAGATTTACCTTCTCCCCTAAAAATGTTGATTATTCCAATTAAAAGTCATGATTACACCGATATTCAGTTTGATTTAGCCATTTGGGACTGATTTTCACTTGTTAATCAGCATCCTTTTGTCTGTTTGTGGTTTATTCGATGAATTTTCTGACTCATCATGATATGTAATTGTCGAGGGTGTGTTGCAATGTTTGGTGTGCGGTGCTTGTGTGGCGTGCATTCTTCAGACTCACAGTCATTCTGGCTCTGTGTGAACATCCTGTTTAATAGCACATGCTTACGAGACAAAGAAGTGTGCAGACAGGTCCAGTTGCTTGTCCGTGGATTTGAGTTGTAAATTAAGAGTGGTGAGTTCTTTGTTTTACATATTTTTGGTTCATGATAGGGGGCCTACTCACATGACTCAGTTTTCTCAGTTTCTCGTGAGTTATGTGATAATGATGCCATCAGTGAAGTGATGGTCGCCTATGGAGAAGTGTTTTCCTTCCTCCATGGGTAGCCTAACTGATGACTTTGCTTTCACGTTGTAGTTTCAGATGAGATAGCGTCATGGCCAAGGCCATCTCTCCCAGTACAATCTCCACAGCAGGCGTCACTATGAGAGTCCGCAAGTCCCCTTCCACCATAACCAGTGACCGGCAACTCTGCACCGGGCCCATGGACACCCCAGGGCTTCCCCCATTGCCCAAGAGCCTCAGCAGCCTCCTAAATGCCAACAGCGGGACCTGGAGAGAAACACTTCGCATACAGGCCCACAAAAACATGATCCAGGACAACTTGTCATCGTCAAAGACGGGGCAGGGCACCGAGGAGGAGAACAGCCTGTCATCATCTTCACTGTCTTCCGGTGCCACTGTGGGGAAAGGCCCCCCAAAGAGGGGCAGGCCAAAGCGGGTGTCTGTTCCACAGGGGAACCTAGATGGGGCCTTAGCCATGCTGAGGAAAGAAATGGTAAAATTGGGGACTTGACTTGTG